CTGGGTGGCTCAGTCAGTTAAGCATCTGCCTTTGGCTCAGGTCATGATCTCAGGGTCCTGGGATCGAGTCCTGCATCAGGCTCCCTGCTCAGTGGGAAGTCTGCTCATCCCTCTCCCTCTGCCGCTCCCCATCCCCTCCACTCGCGCTCTTTCTCACTCTCTCTTGCTCTCTCTCTCTTTCAAATAAATAAATAAAATCTTAAAAAAAATAAAAATTCATTTCTAGCCCTATCTACTGAAAAGGCCACTATCTACTGAAAAGGCCTAGAAATATGACGACCAACCCGGGAACAATGAGATATAGTTCATTCCATGTCGAGGACAGGGAATATATAAGATGAAACCAGAACATCTATCATCTCAGATACCAAGGAAGAAAAAACGCAAGAGTCTCAGGAGCCAACTGAACAATCTGCAGTGGCAAATAAAGGGATGATGTGAGCATCAGTAATGACAACAACTGTAATGAATTGAAACACATCAAACATGCTGAAGTCATGACTAAAATTTTAAAAGTTTACAAGCTGCCTTTGGAAGATGCTAGGGACTCATTATTTTGAAAAATGGTAAATAAAGGGAATGTATCCGACCTTTCCATAGGAACCTCAGGGTAACTAAATAGTAAATGAGGGGAAGTTTCTCTCTAATACAGAAGTCTTCCAGTTAGTAAGTGAAGGAGTGACAGAATATCACCATGTTGCAACCCGCAATAAAATAATGCATCTAGGCAAGGATCTTCAATGGTGGTTCACATCATAACGGAGAGACAAGTAGACATGATGTGCATCCTTTTGGGAATGCACGATACTACCTATGAAAGTGACCCCCACATAATCAAACTTGAATCTGACCAAGAACCTAGATTTAATTACTAACTCACAGGAAGTACAGGAGATAAAGGACCATGTCAAAAGTCACAACAGGAATGCAATCAGCAAAATCCAGATTGTGGGAAATTTTACAAGAAAAGCAAAACCAAAAAAAACCAATTCTTTTTTCAACAAATAAACTAGAAGGAAAAAAAGAGACGAGGGAACTGTGGATTAAAAGACACTCCAGAGACACATCAAACAACTGCCTTTGGATCCAATTCAAACAAGCAAATATTTATATACATCAGGGAAATCTGAACACTGACTGGTTATTTGATGATACTCAGAAATTATAGCTATTTTTTCGGTGTGTTAATAGTATAGTGATTATGTTTTTTTTAAAAAACCCATGGGGCACTTGGGTGGCTCAGTCGTTAAGCGTCTGCCCTCGGCTCAGGTCGTGATCCCAGGGTCCTGGGATCGAGCCCCGCATCGGGCTCCCTGCTCGGCGGGAAGCCTGCCTCTGCCCACGACTCATGTTCTCTCTCTCTCTCTCAAATAAATAAATAAAATCTTAAAGAAAAAATAAGACAGAGTCAAATATGAAGCAAACTAAAACATAGCATAGACATGAGCTGCACTGAACAGTTTTTGTGGTTATTTTAAACAAACAACTTTTTTTGCTTTTTATTTATTTATTTTTAAGATTTTGTTTATTTATTTGAGAGAGAGAACACAAGTGGGGAGGGGCAGAGGCAGAGGGTGAGGCAGGCTCCCCACTGAGTGGGAAGTCAGACACGGCACTCGATCCCAGGACTCCAGGATCACGACCCAAGCCAAAGGCAGACGCTCAACTGATTGAGCCACCCAGGTACCACATTTTTGGCTTTTTAGAATCAACTTGGAAAAAACGTATGGAAGATTTCACTATGGTTAAATGGGAAAAAAAAAATCATAAAAATGTGTAATGCGTAACACACAGAATGGTTGGGGCAGGGAAGGTAGATGGTAGGCTGGGAGCTCTAATGTTCCCATCTTACAAGGGGTTAAGTTAGTGGTAAACTTGTTCAAGATGGATGAAGCAAGAAGTTAAGATTTAAGTATACTTTTTGAGGTTTCAAAACAAGCCTGAGGAGGAGCCACCAATAGTCTGGTGATGGAAAAGAGAGACAAAGATAATAGAAGTCAACGAAACCTTACATATACCTTACTACACCAGGATATTCAAGATTGATAAATCAAGAAACTTCAGTACAAGCATACAATTTGGGGATATGGAGGTAACCACCAGAAGTACAAGACCCAGAACTGCTGAAAATTTCTGTAGGAAGGATGGGGAAGGCTATGTTGGAGCACGGCTGCTTTCCATGATCAGCTCCTCTGAGCACCTGTTGCTTTGATCCACAGCTGTATTATAGAGGGTCTTGTGAGCCATTTAAAAGAGTTAAGAGTTTTACACAGACAACCAGGTGCTATGACTAGATCTGTGTTCTAAATGCATCGCTCTGGCTGCAGGAAGAGAATGGAATGGAAGCAAGCCAGAATGGGAGCGAGGAGGTGGGGGTGGGGCAGGGCAGGAGGCCAGCTGCAGATGTCCAGGCTGATGGTGGCCTGGCACAGGAACGGAGAGAGCTGGATGGATTCAAGAGGTACTAAAGACATTTGGAAGAATCATGTCCGATGCCCAGGTCTCTGCCAGCTGAGTGAGGGATGGCCCCTTTTACGAGCTGGAGAACCCTGGGGGTGGGACAGGAGGGTTCGAGAAGAAGATAACCAGTTCAGTTTGGACACGTTCAGTTTGAGTCATCGAGGATGTGTGAGGCCTTTAATAGTCTGGCACCAACCACCCTCCCCAACCTGTTTCTGCACTCACCATCACCACCACCATCCCCCCGCCCCCGGCCATGCTTACCTCTGTTCTCTTGTCACACTGAGCTTCTTGCTGTTCCACAAGCATACTATATGTCTTTCCTCTGCTCATGCTTCTGCTGAGAATGCCTTCCCTCTCCCTTCTCAGCCTGCAGAGTTTCCGGTCATTACTCGGCTCAAATCTCTGGTCTTCTCAGAGCACTTCTCCCAAGAAGTGCTCCATCCTCTGGGTGCCCCAGTATGCTAACAGATCTCTGTCTAGCTCTGAGCACATTCTCCCATAGATCTCTTTTTATATGTCCACTTTCCCTAGCAGGCAATTGTTTTATAGAGGATAGGAACTGTCACCTATTATCCTTCATGCTAGAAGTATGAAGGTATTTCATCTAGTCTGTCAACTCTCTCAGCTTGGTGATGACTACCCAGAATGCCACATTGTAGATGATTCTGGATAGATGCAAGATTGGTGCAAGGTGGTGGTGGGGTTCTGAGAAAATGAAAGTCTGTCATGGGAGAAACACCTCTCCCAGGGCGCCTGGGTGGCTCAGAGGGTTAAGTGTCTGACTCTTGATTTTGGCTCAGGTCATGATCTCAGCATTGTGGGATCGAGCCCCACGCTCAGCGGGAAATCTGCTTGAGATTCTCTCTCTCCCTTTCCCACTGCCCCTCCCCCCCCCACTCTCTAAATAAAATAAATGAAATGTAAAAAAAGAAAAAGAAAAAGAAAAAGAAACGCCCTTCCCAAGTAGAGTAAAAGAGTCTTCTGGCCTGCCATCTCATCACTTAAAATGCCTCACAGACTGAGGGGCCTGCCTTGGGGTCTGGATACCTGTATACTATCAGGGAATTTTTGCTCCCAACATTTGACCTGCACGCACTAGGACTCTCCAACATGCAGCCACACCATGGATTTTAGTTGAGACATGCCTGGGCCAGATCTCTTCACAGCCCTGGGTCATCTGAGCCCTACTGACCTGAAGAAAGCCATTTCAGGATGGAATCTTCCAGTCCAGCAAGATTTGGATAAATCCCCCATTTTATTCTAAACTTCTATATTAGTTTCCTGTAGCTGCCATAACAAATTATCACGAATAGGGTGGCTTAAAACAGAAATTTGTTTTCTCATAGTTCTGGAGACCAGAAATCTAAGACCAAGGCATCAGCAGGCTGCACTCCCCCAAAGTCACCAGGGGAGAATCCTTCCTTGCCTCTTCCAGCTTCTATTGGCTCTAGGCATTCCTTGACTTCCTTGACTGCATTGTTCCCATCTCTGGCTCTGTCTTCACATGGCCTTCTCCTTTTCTCTGTCTTCTCCTCTTCTGTCTCTTATAAGGACACCTGTCACTGGATTTAACACCCAATGGATAATCCAATTAAACCCTCAGTTTTTAATTATATCTGTGATAACCCTTTTTCCAAATATGGTCACTTTCACAGGTTCTGGGACATAGACAAATCTTTTTAGGGGGCCACCATTCAACCCCCTACACCTTCTGAATGGAAAATGACCAAAAGACACAGGATTTGTTCACTTTCAGACATGAACAATTTCTCTTAATGGGGACATACACAGTGTTCTTTAAAAATGTAGACAGAATAGTGAAAAACTATCACAAAGCAGCAGCAGCAAAAAAAGCCCAATCCTAACCAACAACATTAACGTGATTGTTTTTGTCTTCACTGTCATAGCCACACAGAAGGCTCTGTGCAGACTGTGGTCTTATTGTCTCTCCCCTGGAAAGCTTCTAAGGCCCAGTATGTTGAACTCTGAGGACAGTAGAACATTGTGACATTCTGCCAAAAAGTTCCAGTTTAAAAAGAAAGGATTATTTTGCCCAGGAAATTCTATCATCATTGCTAAAAAAGAGAAAGATCGGGAAAGGAAGGAGAGAGGAAGGAACACAGCGCCGAGCTGCAGGCTTCAGCTTCTTTCTGAGAGAAACCCTCAGTTGCCTGTGTTTTCAAGACTGGATGGCAGAGTGGAACCCCTCCTCCTGCCGAACGCCACCAAGCACTTCTGTATTCTTGTCCCTTGCTCTTGCTCCAGCCATTCCATCTGGAACTGAAGCCTGCAGGGTTAGCGCGGCTTGTGTTGCTAGCCTGGCTATGCTCACCTCCGTTCAATCCATATCCGAGAAGATAACCAGAAGTTTTTATTCAGAAAAGTCCAAAAAAAGCAGACCTCTCCCGGCCTCACTCCTCACTTCAGCAATAACGGGCCTCTTGACCCAAGCTAACCCACGGTAACATGATCAAGCTGGTTACCCCCAGGTGAGAGCCAGCTATGTGGACAGTAACTCTGCCCCATTTTGGAAAGGAACAATCAAAGTGATGAGAGTTACTGTCATGTGACAAGTTACTACTGTTTCACCATTATCAATAATTACTGAACATATTGAATAACCACTGAGTAGTTATTGAGGACAGTGTCCTCTGACCCCACTCTGAAACAGAGAAATCAAGCAATGAAAGTCACTATTATGTGACAGATTGTCGCCATCCCATCATGACCAATATTTAAGGGATACTTAGAGTCATATTCCAACTGGTGAGATGCAGCACCTCGCTCCCGGGAGCCTGAACCATCTCGGGAGTAGGAATACGGGACATAATACAGGAAAAGGACCTGTATTATCCTTGTTCCCATTTAGCACTACTTATGTCTCAATGATGCTCAGTCCGATAAGTAAAACCCATACTGTTAATGACCTCTTGTCCAAACCACACAGCCTCGGAGGCAGGGTTCATTTTCCTGTTTCTTGCCCATTGTTCAAGGTCACCAATTATTACTCTGAGGGCTGTTAATAAAACTGTTTAATATTTACTTAGCTGATAGTCTTGAAGCAGCAAGAAAGCAGATCTGGCTGAGGATGTGGAACTAGCCCTTTGCCTGCCTGCCCACCCCACCCCCCAACCCCCACCACCAGCCACTCCAGAACCAGACCCAAGGATCTCAGCTTGATTCCTCCCCCAATACGTCCCCTCTAGAAGGGAGGGTCTCAGTCAACGCATAGCTTTTGGGCTTTGTATAACTTACTTCAAATTAGTTGATTTAGAGCTCTCTGTTAATGAGCTCTTGGAACCACTGACTGGGAAGTTGGATAAGTTGGTATCTAAGAATCTTTTCTATCTTTAGCCATGTTGCTACATGAAAGGCAAGTTAAGCATAATATACTACATAGGATACTTAGTGGTATACATAGTACTAGAGTTCAGAGAAGATTTGGCCAGTTGCTACCTGCCCATCTTTAAAGCCAGATGCTGTCAGTGGATTTCACATGCCCATATACTTGGCGTTGTCTTCTCTAAGCCCGTGTGATGGGGAGTCCACAGTGGATTGGCCTCTGAATTGCTGCTTGGCTCACCTGGACCCAAGAAGGGACTCCACTTTACAATTCAGGAAATGGTTAAAATAGCACTTTGCAGGCCTCTCAAACTACGCTCTCCTAATTTAGACCCTGACTCCCTTGAAAATAAAAAGGAGCCCCAAAATATCCCTCTGGGGGTAAACCTTTTTGAGTCAAAACTCATCTATGAGAATAAAACAGGCCAAGAAGGGATGACTAAAGGCAGCAAAGCACCACATCTACTCATGATTCGCCTAGCCAGGACAGTTTTCCCAGTCTCCGAGGACTAGGCCTACAGGTAACTTACCAACCGACAGAGCAAGTCTATGGAATCTTACAAGTGCCTGAAAAATGAATTACAGATACAAAACACAGTTTACAATGAGGGATCTGACCCTCATCACTAAGATTTAGAAATAAAGAAAGTCCCTTGACCTCAAAGAAGAGGGAGCTTCACAAGTCATGGGCATGAGAAAGAGGCCCTTCTTGCTCCCCCTGGGCTGGTAAGCAAGAACAAAACATGATTTGTTCCGGAAGTTGCGACTGGAAAAGCTTGCTTTCTGGGCAAAGTCCCTTTACAGCCACTCTGGGCAGCCCATCCTCCTCATATCCTTGGAGCTCCCGCTGACTGGGGCTCCAGACACTCTTCTTGACTGATGATGCATTGGTGAGACACCAGGAGGCAGAGGAACCAGACTATGATGGACAAAACCTAATGGAAGGGGCCTATTCTTGTCCCAGGACAGGAACAAGACAGTCATAAACATGAAACATCCACTCCGGGTCTCTGCAGAGCCCAGGCATAGGATTCAAAAGATACTGTGTTTTGGTATAAGCAATACAATATAACATTACAAAACAATGTAATACAACATGATATAACATAGAGCATGGAGGATTTTAAATTTTACATTTATTTTTAAAGGTGGCTTTAAAAAATACAAAGGGCCTCCTATCCTGACCTTCAAATTTGAGAAACTGAGATAGAAACAAACGTTTGAGAGATATGAGAAATGAGAGAAATGAGATAGAAAACAAATTTCTATTGCTTTCTCCCATGTTCAAGACACATTATAAAATTGCACCCTTGCTGTAAATGTACATTCTATATTTGATTTTCCTAATATCTACAAGCAAACTACTGGGTTACTGGAAGAATTGATTCAGTGACCTATCTGTCAGCAGGGCACCAAAATTAAAAAGCAGCCTGGGGAACTGGATGTCATTGGCATCCTCGCCCTAATGTTTGCCCAAATTTTAAGGAATCACTTAAAACATTAAGGCTGAGTATGTTCAGATGCACAAGTGTAAAGGTTTAAGCTACATTTTTATTTGAGATTTTCCCCTTTACTTAAAAACATTCAGAACATTGTTTTTAAGTAATTGGTGCTCTAATTTTATTTATTTATTTAGATTTTATTTATTTATTTGACACAGAGAGACACAGCGAGAGAGGGAACACAAGCAGGGGGAGTGGGAGAGGGAGAAACAAGCTTCCCGCAGAGCAGGGAGCCCCATGTGGGGCTCGATCCCAGGACCCTGGGATCATGACCTGAGCCAAAGGCAGACACTTAACGACTGAGCCACCCAGGCGCCCCGGTGCTCTAATTTTAAATGGTAAATGAGTACAAATTAGTGTTGGGCTCAGCAATTACAAGCTCTGACCTTGAGCTCTTTGCTTTGTATAGCTCAGAGCCTGAAGCCTGTTAAGCGCTGTCAGTAACTTTCTTGTACCAGGAACTCCTTTTCAATCAGTATGTAATCCCTAGTCTATTCTTGGGGATCATAGTCAGAATGAGTTCAAACCACATAAATCAGTTATGATCTTTAACAGGGGGTTCTTCCCCCGCCCCTCTTGGAGAGAGGGGGCAGTAACAAAATTCCAACTTGATGGAGGCTTCACTTCCTATGAGATCATAGAATGATCTTTCCAAGGCACCCAGCAATTTGTCATATGAAAAGTAGCTATGGAAATGAAAATCACAACGGAGGGAATGTGACTAAAAATGAAAACAGGCAGCAGAACGCAAATTCTGCTTCTGAAACAGCTTTGGCATCCATGCCTGTCTTTCTGCCCTCCTGCCCTAGCTCGGTGCCCTGCACCATCTCCGCCAGGGACCCGCCACCAGCCCCAGCAGCACCCCTCCTCCATCCCTTCCCCACACCATCGCTGGATTTAGCAGGCTGTAAGCAGCGTGGGCTACGAAACAATGTGTGGTCTAATGCCATCTGCGGAGAACGTATATGGAGCTGTGTTTATACCTAGGGATGTATACAGAAAGCTTCACAGAATAAACCAACAAATATTAAGAATGGCTCTCTAACATGTGATCTGTTCCCTTTATATTTTGGAAATTACTGAAAATTGGGGAAACATAATCATTAATTTTATAATCAGAAAACAAAGCATATAGAGAAAACTGATGGTTACCAAAGGGGAGATGGGTGAAATAGGCCACGGGGATTAAGGAGTGCACTAGTTGTGATGAGCACCAGGTGACGTATGGAAGTGTTGAATCACTATATTGTACACCTGAAACTCATACACTATGTTAACTAACAGGAATTAAAATAAAAACTTAAAAAAATAAACCCACCATTTTTGGAGAACAAAAAAAAAAAAGAAAGAAAAGAAAAGGGGCGCCTGGGTGGCTCAGCCATTAAGCGTCTGCCTTCGGCTCAGGTCATGATCCCAGGGTCCTGGGATTGAGCCCTGCATCGGTCTCCCTGCTCTGCTGGAAGCCTGCTTCTCCCTCTCCCACTCCCCCTGCTTGTGTTCCTGCTCTTGCTAACTTTCTCTCTGTCAAATAAATAAATAAAATCTTAAAAAAAAAAAAGAAAGAAAGAAAAGAAAAGAATTGAAGCTACTTTTTAAAGAGAAAAAAGAAAGCAAGCATTCCATGGTAATCTACTGCAAACAAGATAAAGTCCAAACTAGAATTTAGGTCCTCTATCCATGACCCCAGATTACTTCTCCGACATTTTCTTCTGTACCTCTGACACATACCCTAAATGGAAAACACACTAGACTGTTTACCCTGAATTCAGTCTTCACCATCCAACTTGCAAGCCCTTGCCCATCCTGTGCATAGAGCCTGCCTCCTGAAGACTTCCTCAAGTACCTTTTAGAAGCTACCCACTGGTAAGCCCAGAGAGCATTGATTTCATCTGGATATGTAACATAATTTTAATTGTGTTTTTCCTCTATTCCACTAAGCAGTAAGCTCTCCAAAGGCAGGTTGTGCCTTTTCCTCTGAGTACCTGGCTCACTGCTTTGCACCCAAAATAGTCAATAAGTGTTTGCTGAAATAGATGATAGAAAGGAGGAGGAGGATGCCCCTGGGGCAGTTGCAGAAGACTTTACAGGGGTGGGATTTGAGCTGGGTTTAAAGAAAAGGTAATATTTAGACAGAAATGATAGCTGATAACAGTTGTCACTGTATGTCAAAAACACAAGGACTTCCTCAAGGGCATTGTTATCATTCTGATGTAGACTGCTTAATATTACAGAGTAAATTGATCCTAAAAGTTCTCCTTTATTTTTTTAAAGATTTTATTTATTTATTTATTTGACAGAGAGAGAGAGAGTACAAGCAGGGGGAGCAGCAGGGAGAGGGAGAAGCAGGCTCCATTCCAGGACCTGAGCTGAAGGCAGACGCTCAACCGACTGAGCCACCCAGGCGCCCCCAAAAGTTCTTCTTTAAATGGGAGATGTATCTTCTTATTTTACACTAACATTCTTAAGCTACAAGGATACAATATTTACAATTAAAAACTAGTTGTCATTAATAAAATTAAAAGGCAAATGGCAAATTGGGAAAATCTTGACAACATATACAGTAAAATGTTAATAACTACGTATCAACAAGAAAATATGAATGGGTAAAGGGGGAAAAGGCAATTCACAAAAGAACAAATCCAAGTGGACAATAAATAAGTGGGGAAAAGTTTAACATCCTTAGTGATAAAATAAATGGAAACTAGAGTGAGCTACAACTTTTCACCTTCCAAACTGACAAATTAAAAGATGCTACTCCATATCATTGAGGGAAAGACAAAGTACTTTCATGGGGCTGTAACTTTTCTGGAAAACAATCTGAAAATAAGTTTCAAGAGTTTTGAAAATAAATCCCTTTGACCTAGTAATTATACTTGTAGGATTCTATCCTAAGGAATTAATCAGCAATGTGCACAGTTTTATATAAGAGCACCACCATTCATAAGAATTAAAAACTGGAAACAATAGAGACTACCAACTATAAGAAAACAAAGGGTAATACTACTACATTTATTTGATGCTATAGTAAAAATCACATATTTTTAAAGGATATTGTCATCGAGGAAAATACTCACAATATAATATAAAGTGGAAGAAAAAAGATTTAATCGTATGCATTCTGGAAATTGCCTTGGGAAATGGGATTGGGGAAAGGATGGTCTTTCACATTTTACTGTTCTCTTTTTTCTTTGGGTCAGTAATAATGATATAGTAGTTGCTATACAACCAATAACAATGTGAATGTTTACTGTGGGCCAAGCATTGTTTTAAGTCTCTTGTGTTTATTTTCTCATTTAATCCTCCCAACAACCTGTGAGGTGAGCATTATTATTATCATCCCCACATTACAGGTAAGAAAACTGAGGCACAGAGAGGTCAATCAAGTAGTCCAAGGTAGAGCTATGATTCAAAGGTGCAATTTTGGCTCCAGGCTTGTTCTCTGTAACCGTGAAGAAATGGTACCTCTGATTCTATACTTGTAGTTTGGCGTTTGTAAATTAAGAAACTGATCCCATGTTTTTGCCCTGGTGGTTTACTCAGCCAAAAAGCTTCTTCTCCTACCTAGCTGTATAAGGACCTGATCTCTTCAAGTCCTTGTATGATTGTATTGTATCATTTGTATTGTATATAATTGTATTGTATAATTGTATAATCAAGTCCTTCAAATGAGTCGTACCCTGAACACAGGGTGCAAAATTGCAATCTGCCCCTCCTGTTTTTTCTCCATAGTATTGATCTAGCTTATTATACAATTTTCAGTTTCACCATATTATTTCTGTCCCCCTCCGATCCCCCCCCAGCCATGTGGTCTCCACTAGGTTAGGGGTTTTTATCTGTCTTGCTAAGTGGTGTATTACAGCCTGAAAAGGTACTGGTACAAACTAGGCAGTCAACAAATACTTATGGATTAAATGAAGTTTTTAAAATACAGCATGATTACAATTTCGCTTTCTCATTTTAAAACAAAAACATGTATACACGTGTGTGGGGGAGAAGAAAAATATTTCAAAATGTTAATGGTGACTTCAAGTGATATTTCTCCTTTGTGTTTTTCTGTGGTTTTATTTTCAAAATTCCATGTGAAAATGTACTATTTTATCATGACACAATGCCTTTTAAAATATTCTTCTAGGGGAGCCTGGGTGGCTCAGCTGGTTAAGCGACTGCCTTCGGCTCAGGTCATGATCCTGGAGTCCCGGGATCGAGTCCCTCATCGGGCTCCTTGCTCAGCGAGGAGTCTGCTTCTCCCTCTGACCCTCCCCGCCTCGTGCTCTCTCTCTCTCATTCTCTCTCTCTCAGATAAATAAATAAAATCTTTAAAAAATTAAAAAAAAAAAACATCTCTTCTAAACCTTGGGTAACCTACATTGCCGTGCGCAGCGAGTTGTCTTTGCTGCAAATTGCAAGAAGCCGTTTTCCTTGTGAAGCGCAGTCGACAAAGGGAAAGGTATTGATGGTCTTCAAATAAATGAATGATTGCTTTTAAATAATCTCCCGAAATTCTTAATTGCAGGAAACAAACTGAGGGTTGCTGGAGTGGGGGGTGGGG